GCAAATTGAGTCAGCAAATTGCCCCCACAGTCTGGGTCCTCATTTCACCCCCCTCGGAAGGATGGAAGGCTGAGTCAACCTTGAGTCGGTGAGATTTGAACCGCCGAACTGCAGATAGCAGTCAGCTGAAGTGGCCTGCAGTACAGCACCCTAACCACTGCGCCACCTCGGCTCCAATTAGTTCACGGATGAGCTACAGGGTGCTCTACAAGATCAAACATGTGAATGCACGCTTCCCTTTTAAAATACCCTTGTAGAAAAGGGAATTCTGTGGGAAACAGTAGTTACATGATACTATTCTTTGTATATTCGAGATAAAGCCTGTGGTGGAGTCTTCCTTGTGTCACACTAACTTTGTGTGTGGAAAGCTGTCTTGCTTTCGGTTTGAAGATTTAATGAGGGATATTTCACGCCCGACTACCGATCACTATTATTCTCTAAGGGTTTGGGAGTGTTACCGAGAGTAGATCTGAAGGATGCATGGAGGGGAAGGCAGGAAGGAGATCAGGGAAGTTCATTTTTTGTGCATAGATGTCTAATTATGCAATAGTACAGTAATGGCGAACCTTTTTTGGCACCAAATGCCCAAACTGTGTTTATGTGTGCATGCATGCTGGACCACTGGAAACCCAAAGACCAGCTCGCTGGCACGTGTATGCCCGTTTTTGGCAGTTTGGGGGTCTGTTTTCAGGCCTGAAAAACAGCCTTAAAATGGCCTTAAAGACCTGTTTTTCAGGCTGTTTTGGGGGCCATTTTCAGGCTGTTTTTGGTCCCCAAAATGGCCTCAAAAGAGCTGATTTTTGGCTGTTTTTTGGGCCGTTTTTCAGACCTTTTTTAGGCACTCTGGTGTGCCCGCAAAGAACCAGCTAGCCAGCACACACATGGGCACCGGAAACCAGAACAGCAGCTGGCAATAGCAGACGTGCCCACAGAGAGGGCTCCGCGTGCCACCTCTGACACTGCGTGCCACAATAGTAGATTTAGCCCTAAAACAGCAACAGTGCGACCTCTACGAGCAAATTGCCTACTTCAGATATACCTGAAACATACAGGAGAGGGCTTGGAAAAGGTTCTAATTTAAGCAATTTCTAGCTACATTTCTTTACCATTGGCTGAGCTCTCGCTTTCTTTAGTGCGGTTGCCAAGTTGTTGTTATTACAACGACGTGATGCTAGCATCTACGTAAAGTCACTGGTCACATTTTATGGCTTATTGTGACAGAGGTGTTATAGAACTTCTTGCCTGCTAGATTTTAATAGTGGTTGTTTGTTCAAGTGTTGAACAAGACCCAGAATTGGCCCCTCTATCCTTTATGTTGTGGAGGTATAAATAGAAAGGTAATTTTCAGAAAAGCCTTCCATATATATATATATATATATATATATATATATATATATATATATATNTCACTGTCCAATTACTGCCAGTTCTGCTGACTGCTGGCGGGCCACAACAGGTCCTGACATCCAAGCAACTGGGAGGAATACATTATTTAGGGCCCTTCTCGTCCCCCCCACCCGACTTTTAAAAAGGAAACCTATTTCTTTGGGATTGGGCTAAGTCCCACCTGATAATCCTAAGTAATCATTCACTGTGCAGTCGTAAAAGGAATGGTTCCTGTTATTTGTCTCACGTTGTCTCCCACAGGCTGACTGGATACGGAATACACCACTGCTTTGCAAAGAGTATGATGGGTCATGAAGAAATGATGTCCTTCACCAACAATTTTTATGCAGACTATTACACCATGGCCAGCATCACTCTGGTGTCCTGCCTGGCCATGTGCCCGGTGGTTGGTTTTCTGGGAAGAAGAGGGGGTCTCCTGCTCTTCATGATCCTTACTGCTCTGGCGTCTCTTTTACAACTGGGCCTTCTCAACTGTGAGTGTCAGCATCGAACTGTTGCAAAGTCTAGTGCAGATTCACGGGGCCCTGACTTTCAGATTACCCACAGGGTTTCCAGTTTATGAGCTGTGGTGGCGCAGTGGTTAGAGGGCAGTACTGCAGGCTACTTCTGTTGACTGCCGGCTGCCTGCAATTTGGCAGTTCAAATCTCACCAGGCTCAAGGGTTGACTCAGCTTTCCATCCTTCCAAGGTTGGTAAAATGAGGACCCAGATTGTTGGGGGCGATATGCTGACTCTATTAACCACTTAGAGAGGGCTGTAAAGCAGTATATAAGTCTAGGTGCTGTTGCTATATATAAAACTGAACATAATGAGTAAGGAAAAAAAAGGTGTCACAAGACTCAAGAATTTAGATCCGGAACTGGCTGAGGAACTCTACAGCAAAGCAGCTCTGTAAAATTTTATATCTGGTTATGAGCCGTGGTGGCACAGTGGTTAGAATGCAGTACTACAGACTAGTTCTGCTGACTGCCAGTTGCCAGAAGTTTGGCAGTTCGATTCTCACCAGCTCAAGGTTGATTCAGCCTTCGACCCTTTTGCGGGGAGTAAAATGACCCAGATTGTTGAGGGCAATATGCTGACTGTGGAAACCTCTTAGAGAGGGCTGTAAAGCACTGTGAAGTGGTTTATAAGTCTTAAGTGCTATTGCAATATTACATAGCAATATGTATATGTTACATATCTGTATATAACATACATAATGTTGCATAAAATAATATTGAAATAATCCAAAGATGTCTTGAGAAACAGGAAAAGAAGTGGAGATCAGGTTTCTTGAACGCATTCAAGAAGGATTGAGTCCTAACATTTACAATAACAGGATTTTGTGAGACTCCAGTAAACTTGCCTAAAAATCTTAGAGATTTCTTTTTTTTTAATATTGAATTTGTTTCTGTCTGGTATTTTCCCTACATTATCAATATAAAAGCTTTTGTTGAGCCTTTGCATTAATTCTAAGCCTGGAATCTTCCACTATTATGCAGTTCATTGTTATCATCTCATTAGGATTTTTATTGGGAATTGGAAATTAAAACGGCAAGCCAGGGAAAAAGATGTATTTCCGCTTTATCAAATCATTAAACAACAAATGTGCTGGGGTAGTTAAAGGAGCAATTCTACACTGTAATTCTTTTTTTTAAACAACTGCAACAGGATGTATGTTTTTCTTCATATGTTCTTTTTTCTTTTCTTTTTCTGTTTCCCATGTTTTCATCATCTTATCATTCGGAATCCAGTGATAGGAAAATACAGTCAACTTCCAGACTCAGGTATCATTTCCAGATCATTTAGAATGTGATTTAATTAATGTTAGTGAACTTTCTTGAGCCTATTGAGCCAAGGTGGCGCAGTGGTTAAATGCAGCACTGCAGGCTACTTCAGCTGACTGCAGTTCTGCNGCCCACCCAGTCACATGACCACCAAGCCCCACCTACCTTGCTGGTCATTAGGGCAGAGAACTGGTTGTTAAATTATTTGAATGCCACCACTGCAACACGCCTTCCTCCTCCTTTTTCCCCATAAGCTCAACCCTTTGAGGTGAGTTGGGCTGAGCGCGAGTGACTGGCTCAAAGACACTCAGGGCCAAGGCAGGACTTGAACTCACAGCCTCTTGCTTTCTAGCCTGGTGCTCAACCACTAGTCAAAAATGGCTCTCCATAATGTTTTTTTTTGCCTGCAACCTCTTGATAAGCCTAATCAGAAAATCATCATTGTCCAACCCCACTGAAAACAAAGTTATAAGCCCTTGTTGCTTTTCACAAAAGCTTCTCTAAAGGACTGTCACACTGAAAACCTATAGGTAACCTAACAGGTATTTCAGTTTTTTCAATTGTACACGTATATACACACACAAACTTAGTTTTTTTTAAGAATAAAGCAAGAAAAACCAGTTCTGCAATGGCCTTCTGTCTGATTGTTTTGTTGACTCAACCCTATCTTATCTGTGCTATCTAAGAAAGTCAGTAATGTTTACAAGAAGATGAATTGAAAAAAATATATTTTTTCTCTCTCTCTTTTGGTCTTTTTTTCATGTTATATGGGATTTCCTGTGCTTGAGAGATGCTTCGCTAATTCAAAAATTTGAATTCTTGAACTTTACAAAGATTCAAGGGAATGGGGAAAGAAATCTATGGGCATGCCAAAGCAATTATATTTATTTCACTTGTGTTTATGGCTTGGTGATAGAAATTTTTTAGCTACGCAGAAATCTTCTGAAAGCTGACATTTTTATTTAAAAAAATAAAGGGAAAACCATTTTCTATGTAGGGTCAGACTAACAGGTTCTCACCTTCAAATTATTAACAAATACATTAAAAAAAAACCTCCCATCTACCTACTCTGATCAACTGCTGGCATTTCTAATTTGCCAAAGACAGTGAGGTAATTGACTGTCCATGCCCATCTCAAAACATTTTTGTGGATTTGTTCATTTTTAACAAGGTTAACAACTCTCTGAAGAACAAGATAGAACATTTAATCCAAGGATGGGCAGAAGGGAATAAGATAGATTCTACATTTAGCAAAACTATTGCAAGCTGAAATAAGAAATCAGGAGTAACATTTTTGTGAGCCTATGAAATCTGTCCCTTTCTGTTAAACAAAGTGACTGGGTTAAGAATTCTTTAATTTTATCTTCTGCCAGCTGCGGTTGTGGGCACTATAATCCTGAAATTTACGCCTCATTTAATCTGATCGTAAAACTCTCCAAGGCTTTGGATAGCTCGAAAGGAAAAGGGGAATAGGTTCAATTAATTATTAATTCAAAAACGAGATCAAGATTAGGGGAGGCGTATTGCTTTCTTTCTTTTTCCGTTGCATGGTTCCCAAACCTCAGAAACCACAACGCCTGCAGTTTAAACACAATTCGCTGTCTAACAGAACCTTGGATAAAAAGGGACAAGGAGCTTTAATTAGAACTTCCTTCTTTCCGCTGAGCTGATCTGCCTCGTTCCCAAATGCCCACCTTTTAGATAATGAAATGTTTGCTTTTGTTTCAGAACTGGAGAAAGAGCTTGCCAGGAGACCGAAAAAAGTTTGCATTGTTAAAGTGGTGGGAACGAGAAACCTGTGGAAAAACATTGTTGTGCTCTGCATCAATTCGTAAGTATGAACGCCCCCACCCCCCCNTTGGGGGCAATATGCTGACTCTGTAAACCGCTTAGAGAGGGCTGAAAGCCCTATGAAGCAGTATATAAGTCTAACTGCTATTGCTATTGCTACCTTGGTCTGGGGAAGAGGTTGGTATTCAGCAGGTTCTAACCGGTTCTGGAGAACTGGTAGCAGAAATTTTGAGTAGTTCAGAGAACCGGTGAATACCACCTTTAACTTGCCCCACCCACATCTATTCTCTACCTCCCAAGTCCCAGCTGATTGGGAGGAAATGGGGATTTTGCAGTAACCTTTTCAGGGAGTGGGTTGGGAATGGAGATTTTACAGTATCCTTCCCCATGCCCATCAAGCCACACCCACGAAGCCACACCCACAGAAATGGTAGTAAAAAAAATGTGAATCCCACCACTGGTCTGGGGATACATTTCAACCCTTTTAAGCACAATTAGCTAATTTTGAAGAAATACTATTTCACCCATTTAATATCTATTGTTATTATATTTTAACTTCCCCAACAAGCATGTTTTTAAATCAGGAGTGAACAGGCATAAATCCTATTGGTCAAGGCCACATATCCCCAAAGCTTCCACAAAATTTCAAGTTAACAAAACGGGGAAGCATCAGACATATGGGGAATAATTACAATATCTGTAATATCAATGTGACTTTTTTTTTAATCAAATGTAAATTGAAATGAATCAAGTTTAGACTTTGCCCTAGCTGAGTCTCCTTTTTGGAGGACATCCTTGGGCAGCCCCGCCTCCTAAATTTGGACAGCCTTGATTTTAATGGTATGGGGATATCTATTCCTTGAGCCCAAAGGTGTATTTTACCTGCATGTGTAACTATGTCCTGTTTTTTCTCTCTCTTTTAGACTAATTATAATTACATAGGAGTTGGAGGTCATTTTTCTTTTCAATGCCATGCAAGATAAAGGCAGGTTTATCTCTCCATACTTCAGATAAGAGAGAGATAAAAGAGCCAATTTGGTGCTGGCCTAGAAACCAGAACACTGTGAGTTCTAGTCCTGCCTTAGATATGAACCCAACTGGGTGACCTTGGGCCAGTCATACCTTCTCAAGTCTGGGAAGAAGGCAGTAGCAAGCCACTTCCAAAACCTTGCCAAGAAAACTACAGCCATTTCTAACCTTCAATTAAGCTTATCTTCCACCAAATTATTAAGTCCAAACAAACCGCTTATTCCAATTATTCCTCTTGTAACTCGTTAATAAATCAATGCTCTTTTAGAGCGATCTTAAGCTCTGTAGTTTGTTTGTTAATTTACGATTCAGCCCCACCTTCAAGACTCCGGCGCCATTTTATCTTCTGTCTCGTTAGTTTTAATAGAAGGATTTTTTTTAAAAAAAAACCGAGCTAAAGTTTAAATATACCTACAGTTGTAGATTCTCCGGTATTTGCTCTGCCTGCTTTTTGCTCAGAAGTAAATCAAACATTGTGCAGGGGCGGTCGTGAGCCTTGGTTTCTGCTATAAAGCAGAATGAGTCCCGGGCGCGGAGTGTGCTGAGCTGCAGGGTGGCTCACACCTTCCACACCCCAGAATTATCTCCTGGGGAGGGGGCATTAATGGAGCTCTTTCCAAGCTCAACAGCTCTCCCCCTTCCTCTTCACCTGAGGAAAGGGTTATCAATCTGTCAGACGGCGGATATACGCTGTCCAAACAGTGTAACGCGATCTCAGGGCTGGAGCTTCTCAATAGAGCCGTTCTTCAGGCTGCACGGAGCCACTCTTCATGACAGTCTGCTAAATGTGTACAGGGGCCAACTGTTGTAGTTGGTAGAGGGGCACGTTAAACAAGAGGGAGCTGTCAGTCCTTGAGAGAGAGAATGCGAATGACGTATTTGCATGTTTCCAAACAGGTATGAGTGACACCGTAAAGGACAAATTCTCCATTACGTTTTCCATCGTGGGGATGTTCTCATCGCACGCAGTTGGAAGCCTGAGTGTATTCTTCTGCGCAGAGATCACCCCAACTGTAATAAGGTATTTAAATAAGAGTTTTGAAGTTCCATCCTTACGTATAGACATTGATCCTCTGATCAACTAGTTTTAGGATTAGACATTTTGGGGGCAAACTTCCAAAAACTAGTAAGGACATTGTTTTGTTGTTTTTCATACCACTTGTGATTAGTCCATACAGTGGCTTTGATCCTTAAAGCTAATGAAAGGAAAACGGACTTGGTGTGTACTTCACTGAAGGAGATCCAATGTGGTGTAGTGGTTGAGGGACTGACTAGACTTGGAGAGAGACCCAGGACCTTGTCATCTCATATGCCTGTAAGCCATCTGGGTGACATTGGACCAGTTAGGTCTATGATAGTTCACCATGGCCAACTTGCCATGGCCAATTTGCTGCTGGACAACTTGCTGAGGGACAAGAGTTACACTAATATCGTAGAAATAGTGGAATAGAAGCATTAAAGGAAGGATGCCAAACAAGGGACAACATTGAATGTGAATGAGAAAAAATAAAATTATTTTTAAAATTATTTTAAATAATTAAGTTTGGATTGTTGAATTGTCCTGCAGAGAATTGTCCCATATCAAGTTGGCCATGGCAAGTTATCCATGGTGAGTTGGCCTTGATGAATTGACCATGACAAGCTGTCCCATTCGGGGACCAATCATCCTTCTCAGTATATTTATCCCTCCAGATATCTTTGACTGGATTTAGCACTTTTGACTATCAGATCTTTCCCAAAAAGATCTGAGAGACCGCCTCCTGCCAATTACCTCTCTAAGACCGATTCGATCGCACAGACTTGGCCTTCTCCGGATTCCATCTGCCAGCCAATGCCGGCTGGCCACCCCCCCCCGGGGGAGGGCCTTCTCTGTTGCAGCTCCGGCCCTCTGGAACGACCTCTCCGCTGAGATCCGGACCCTTACTGCCCTCCTGGCCTTCCGTAAAGCTGCTAAGTCCTGGCTGTCCCGGCAGGCCTGGGGCTGTTGAACCTTAATTGTGAATGTTGTTGCTTTTTAAATTTTGTATTTTCTTGTTTATACCCCTTCCCTTTTTATTGTAAGCCGCCCAGAGTCCTTCGGGAGTGGGCGGCATACAAGACCAATAAAACAAACAAACAAACAAAAATTTAGGATGGTTAAAGAAATAGTAATGTATGCATTGCTCAAAGTAGTACCAGTGCTCCTGCTAATACCGGTACTATTATTGTTGTCGTTTGTCAGCCAAATTTTCAGACTGGATTTGACATTTTTATCCATCTATCAAGTCTTTTCCAGGGACCCAGGATAGGCAAATGTGGGTGTGTTAAAGGTATCATCACAGAATGTAAGCTGTTCCAATGCCTTTAACACATGTATTATTGCTTTTATTTTGCCCGCAGCAAATGAGATATTAGCAATTATATTAGACTTTGCATCTGTGTTGCTATCATAAACACTGTTGTCATGGAGCACTGTAAATATTAGTGAGATGGTGTATATACAATTTTTGCATAATGTTATTATATAACTTTGGAGTAAATCAAATTAATATTGGAAGAGAGAGGATTAAGCTTCCCTTAGCTCTGCTGATAAAAGGGAAAATGTGAAGGGCACAAAATATTAAATTACTTTCTTGCTAAAATTATTAGGAAAATATTTTTAGGTTTATTTGGTATATGAACCCAGTTCGATTTTCACGAACGACGTAACTCAACTTGAAGTAATATAAAATATTTTCAGTACCCTATCCTTTACAACGAACAAGCATTGTTAAAATTGTGCTTCTGAGTGTTGATTTTTCCTGTTAATTCCCCTCAGCTGTATAATTCACTGGCTCTAAATTTGATGAATATAAGTTCATAAAAACATTTTTAAACTTTCAAAAATCAAAGATATTGACTAGCGGGGCAATTAATGATATTTATTAAAACTTGTGTTGTTACAAGAAAGGGTCTATTGTGAACAACTTCAAACTGAAGTATAAAAAGAAGTGAAGATCCTTTCACCATTCAATTAGATCAGAAGTGAGGAACTGTGGCTCCTTTATGACTTGTGGATTTCAATTCCCAGCATTCATGAGCCAAATGGCTGACTTAGGAATTCTGGGAGTTGAAGTCCAGAAGTCATAAAGGAGCCATGATTCCCCATCCCTGAGATAGATGCCAATCCCTTAATTCTGGTTGTTTTTTCCAGCTTCTAGCTGCTAAGCAGTTAAACATCTCTGAAGAATCCTAATTCCACATTATAAGGGATTGAGAATAGATATGCGTTCAAACCAGGGGTGGGTTTCTCCCGGTTCGCACTGGTATGCCAGAACCGGTTCGTGAAATTTAGCATACCTTTTGGAACCTGTTCCGAAGGAAGGAAGGAAAGAAGGAAGGAAGGAAGGAAGGAAGGAAGGAAGGAAGGAAGGAAGGAAGGAGGGAAAGGGGAGAGATACACACAGGAAAGGAAGAGATACACACAAGAAAGGAAGGAAGGAAAGAAAGAAAGAGTGAGTGAGAGAAAGAGAGAGAAAGAGAAAGAAAGAAAGAAA